TTCAACATCCCGCTCCTCCTCCAGAACAAGCTGGGGCGCTGCCTCACCCGCAAGACGCTGCACCGCCGGCTGCCCTGCCTCACCTGGATGAGGAGCTACAGCAGCGACTGCATCCCGGGCGACCTCCTGGCGGGCTTCACCGTCGGCCTCATGATCATCCCGCAGGCCCTCGCCTACGGGATCGTGGCCGGACTCACGCCCAATGTGAGTCTTTTTTTCTCTTGTTATTATTATTATTATTATCATTATTATTATTTATTATTATTATCATTATTATTATTATTATTATTATTACTACTACTATTATTATTATTATTACTATTATTATTATTAATTAATCATTATTATTATTATTATTATTATATTATTATTATTTATTTATTTTATTATTTATTATTACTGTTATTATTGTTTCATTATTGTCATGATGATAATCTTTATTGTTATATGTGAGTCATTGTTTTTCTTTGTTATTATTAAATTATTATTATTATTAATTATTATTATTATACTATTATGCTTATTGTCATTATTATTATTATTGTTATTATCCTTATTGTCATTATTATTATTATCACAATTAGCATTATTATAATTATTATTATTATTATCATTATTATTATTATTGTTATTATATTAATTATCATTATTAATATTATGATTATTATCATTATTGTCATTGTGATCATTATCTTTATTGTTATTATTATCATTGTTATTATTGTTATTTTGAAGGGGGCGGAGGAACAGCGGTTCATATATATATATATATATATATTATATATATTATATATATATATATATATATATATATATATATATATATATATATATATATATATATATATATATATATATATATATATATATATATATATATTTGTGTGTGTGTGTCTGTGTGTGTATTGATATGTGTGTATGTGTTTATGAGTGTAATGTACATTTCCAGTCCGTCTTTGTACATCTTTTTACGACTGAATGTCCTTGCGAGAAACATTCCCAGTTTACGAGAAAGAGAAAAAAAATGTTCCCTGTATCCAGAAGAGCAGGCGGAAAAGTCCCCATTCCGCCCCTCTGACCTCCCTCCCCGTTTGAACTCCCTTTGACCCCCCTCTGATCCCCCCCCCCTTTGACCTTCCTCTGACCCCCCTCTCCCTTTGGCCTCCCTCTGATCCCCCTCCCCCTTTGACCTCCCCTCCACCTTTGACCTCCCTCTCCCTTTGACCTCCTCTGACACTTCCCCTTTACTCCCTCTGACCCACCACCCACTTTGACCTCCCTCTGACCCCCACCACCCCTTTTGACCTCCCCTGACCCCCACCACCCCCTTTGACCTCCCTCTGACCTTCCCTCCCGCCTTCCAGTATGGCCTCTACTCTGCTTTCTGCGGCTGCCTCGTCTACTTCCTGCTGGGGTCGACCATGGAGCTCAACTTGGGCCCCACGGCGATCATGGCCCTTATGACGATGCAGTACAGCCAAGGGGGCCCGGAGTACGCTGTGCTTCTGTGCTTTACTTCGGGGGTCATCGAGCTACTGGCCGGAATCATCAACCTCGGTACGTGAGGCGCTAGGAGAAGAGGTGCCGGTATTTGTTTTTTTCTTGTTTTTCGTTCTTGGGTTTTGTTTTCTCTTTTTTTTCTTTGTTGGGTGGTGGTTTTTGTTTTGGTCTTTTTCTTGATGTTTCTTTCTCTCTCTCTCTCTCTCTCTCTCTATCTATCTATCTATCTCACTCTTTTTTTTCACTCTCTTTTTTCTCCCCTTATTCCTTTCTCACCTTCTTTCTTTCTTTCGTTTCCAAATATTCCTTAAATACATTATAATCAAAACAAGACGTCCCATTACCGTGAAAGGCGATCTGAATCCATTAAATACTTATACTACTGATCGAGAGCGGATTGAAAGCTTTTACTTAAAGTCTAAGGGATTAAAGAGTTCGGATTAATTCAGATTAGTCAGTATGTTAACTGCATTACATCATAGTCGAGGCTGTCATGTATCTGCATGATTGCGAGTATATATGTTTTACGAGAATCAAAGAAAAAATAGATGTGAGCTATGTATTTAGTATTATTTTATCTGTATTTGTCTTAGTCTTTGTGTGTCTTTTTCTGTCTATGAGTCTATCAGCTAGTTTGTTAAAATTAATCGTGGACGGCCCGATGAATATTCATATATACAGACAGGAATACATTTATCTATCTGTCCGGTAGATATGCATGTCTATATTGATAAATATGCATTCATTTCTGTGTACATGCATATTCGTATAATGAATATTCATTTTGGCGCCTCTCGCACAATTACAAAAAACCGGCATACATCTGCCTCTGCCTCCGTCTCTATCCTTCTATGTCCGTGCATCTCTATCTCTGTCTGTTTGTCTGCCTATCTCTCTCTCTCTCCCTCTCTTTTTCTTTCTCTGCTTATCTCCCTCCGTCTCCATCTCTCTCTTATCTCTCCGTCTTTATCCCGACCCCCGTTTCTTTGTCCCGCAGGTT